ACGTGCCAGGGGACTTTAAGCATTTGTGGCACTAGTCCGTACGTGCCAGGGGACTTTAAGCATTTGTGGCACTGGTCTGTACGTGCCAGGGGACTTTAAGCATTTGTGGCACAAGTCCTTCCGTGCTAGGGGACTTTAAGCCTATGTAGCATAGTCCTTCCGTGCTAGGGGACTTTAAGCCTAAGTAGCATAGTCCTTCCGTGCTAGGGGACTTTAAGCCTAAGTAGCATAGTCCTTCCGTGCTAGGGGACTTTAAGCCTAAGTAGCATAGTCCTTCCGTGCTAGGGGACTTTAAGCCTAAGTAGCATAGTCCTTCCGTGCTAGGGGACTTTAAGCCTAAGTAGCATAGTCCTTCCGTGCTAGGGGACTTTAAGCCTAAGTAGCATAGTCCTTCCGTGCTAGGGGACTTTAAGCCTAAGTAGCATAGTCCTTCCGTGCTAGGGGACTTTAAGCCTAAGTAGCATAGTCCTTCCGTGCTAGGGGACTTTAAGCCTAAGTAGCATAGTCCTTCCGTGCTAGGGGACTTTAAGCCTAAGTAGCATAGTCCTTCCGTGCTAGGGGACTTTAAGCCTAAGTAGCATAGTCCTTCCGTGCTAGGGGACTTAACTATACGCTACGTACCGACTGGTTCGTATCAAAAAAATGTGACATCATTATAGATATAAACTAGTATTGTTTGAGAATGAATTGTGTGAATCGGCTAGTTCCTGTTATATAATGGTGTGTAACCATTTCACAAGTCATTACATAGGTCGCAACGGGTCAATACTACTAGTTCAAACTGATATTGAAAAGAAAATATGAAAAACCTATAAAAAAAAAAATTTAAAAATTTCACGATCACAACACTTAATTCCCATTATACACCAGCCGATATTATCAATATTAATATTCTGCAATCAATATTGTTACCTTATCCCATACCGCAATTTATAACTCCACACAATACACATGCTTAGGATGAATCACACTCCGCTACATATGCTTTTTCTTTTTGGTTTCTTGCTCTGTCAGTGCTGTGTCATTACGAAGATCAAAAAAAATTGGAGGTGAGTAATAAGACATCATGGCCCGAAAAGATGGAACACAAGAGGGTCAAATGCACCCTACCTGAGACCCTAACTGCAAAACATTGAAAAACGTTGTCGGACACGTTTGTATGTTTTTTTGGCAAAGCCTTTTACATTTCGGAAAGTATGACGAAGAGGCAGAGCCGGCAAACTTTAGTTGGTTTTAAAAATAGATTTTTTATTTTTTATGAAAAAAAATAAAGAGAATATATTTTTTTTAAGTGATTTTTTTTACTTTTAACTATTATATTGTCAAAACAAACCTTAAAATGAAGATAAAGATGAAGATGAAGATGAAGATGAAGATGGTCTATGTGAATTTTAATGGGAAATTGATTCAGTGATCTAGGACTACCATGATCTTGAAAAAGGTTTCATTTAGCTAAAATTAAAAATCAACTTATTTTTTTATTATTTTTGACTTTTTTTATTTTGATTTTGATTTTTAGTTTATTTTATGTTTTGAGTTTTTTTTTTCCCCCTTTAGCTAGACCTGTTTTGATTAGATGATTTTAAAACTTAAAAAAATTTGATTAAATTTTTAAAAAATTCACTAAATACGAAACAAAATCAAATTTTATTTTTACAAAAACTTATAAAATTTGAATTTTTGTTTTTTTGAAGTTTTTTTCGAAAACGTTTGAAATCTTTTTAATTTTTGATAAATGTGAACTTGAGATTCCACATTCATTGAATTTCGGCCTCATTTGGTGTAACAAGCCACATTTATGTCTTATTCATGTTCATGAGCATTTGTATGATCATGACTCGTTAAGCTTGCATTTGTATGTTTATGATTTGTTTTGCCTAAGTAAGGTCCATGCCTTGTTTTGTGTTTATGTGACTTTGCCTAAGAGTTGTGTGCATGCTTTGTTCCTTCCTTGGTGTCTCGAGCCTGGGTTATGTCAAGCCTAGATCATCCCAAGCCGAGGTCATCTTGAGTTGTCTTGGAACCCCTTTGTTGGACCTCCACCTTCGACCTGACATATTGGCCGAGATGTCATTATCTAGGCCGAGATGTTCATCACCAAGGCCGAGATGTTACCTTTGCACCCAAGTGACCTTGTCCTGGAGTGGTATGACCTAGACCGAGGTGTGGCACATCTAGGCTAAGGTGTGGCACAGCTTAATCAAGTGTTGTCCTTCCTAGCTGAGGTCATTGTCACCTTAGTTGCCGAAGTCATGTTGTTAGCCGATGTCATCACTTGTCGGAGTGCCTTACTGGGTAGCTTGTTAGGTACACTTTGTTATAGTCTTGTCTTGTCAATCTATCACCTTTTTAAAGAGAGCCAACCAGCCGTTGCCACGTGTCCGAGCTGTGTGTTAAGTCAGCCAGCAGAGGGAGAAACCCATCATTTTCTATATCTTTGTTTTGAAGAGGAGAGAGAAGCTCTAAAAGAGGGAGAGGAGTTCTTGAGAGGAAGTAGATTTCCAAGCTTGATCCCTAGAGATCGAACCGTTAGATCCGTGTTCTAAGGTTAGATTCTTGATCTACCCTTGTCATTCTTCATGTTCATGTTATTGCATTGCATGATTGAATATGATTTGTAAGCCATTGCATTGCTTTGAAGTTCGGTTTTAGAAAGAGAAAAATAACATTCATGTGTTCTTCAAGAAAAGCCATGTTTTGATCCGAAAGTTCATGCCAAGATCCATGTTTTTGTATTTGTTTTCACATGATCTTCAAGTATGGGTACCCAGGTCTATGTTTTCAAACTCATAGCATGAAATCCCAGATTTTGTAATAAATAAGTTATGATTTTAGCATTCACATTCTTCATGATCTTCATGTTCATGTTCTTCCTGTTCGTCACGGGTGAAAACCCAGATCTCCAGACCTCACTTCCCGAGGTATAGTCGCCGAGATCACTCTTACCTAGACCTCACACTTAGGCCAAGCATCGTATCTCACATTGGCATACCTTGCATGATCACTTACACCTTTAGTTTGTCTTGTGCACACTTCGGCATGCAGCCGCACGCCGAAGCCTAGGTAGCCACACCTCGGCCAGGAGGTATGGGACCTCGGCAAAGACCTGGTTGATACCCAGCATGTCTCCTGACATGTAAAACAGTGTTTTGACTTCCAGCATGTTTTCCCTAGATGTTTCCCAGCATGTTTTTCCGAGATCATTTGCATGCATGTAAGACTTGTTTTGTGAAGTGCATTCACTAGACTTTGTCATGTGTTTGTAGGACTTGGACCCTTGCCTTGAGCCTGACGTCCCAAGAACTATGTGAGTGGTGTTTTTAATAAAGGTATGTTATAAGGTTTTGATAAAGCTTTGCCTTGTTTTGATAAAAGTATTTGTTAAGCATGAATGATATCCCTATTTTATGTATCAAGTATAAGCTTTGTTTTGGATGACATTCTTGGAACCGTCCTTTCGTGTTAGGGGACGTTAAGCCTAAGTAACACCGTCCTTTCATGTTAGGGGACGTTAAGCCTAAGTCACACCGTCCTTTCGTGTTAGGGGACGTTAAGCCTAGGTAACATAGTCCGTACGTGCCAGGGGACTTTAAGCATTTGTGGCACTAGTCCGTACGTGCCAGGGGACTTTAAGCATTTGTGGCACTAGTTTGTACGTGCCAGGGGACTTTAAGCATTTGTGGCACAAGTCCTTCCGTACTAGGGGACTTTAAGCCTATGTAGCATAGTCCTTCCGTGCTAGGGGACTTTAAGCCTAGGTAGCACCGTCCTTTCGTGCTAGGGGACGTTAAGCCTAAATAGCACCCTTGTTAAGATATCGGCCACCGACGGACTATGAACGGGTGTGCTCGATGCCGAGGATATGCTTTCGTTTTGCCCGAAATGTCATCACCCCATGTTTTAAGTTGACGTATGTTAAGTATGTAAGTAAGTTTTGAAAGACCAAGTTTCGAATGATGTTTTGTTTCAAGCCAAGCTAAGCTATGTTATGTATGGTTTTGACAAGGATATAATATGTGCTGTTTTGAAAAGATCTCGGGTATCATTCATTTAACCCCTTTATTACTAGTACCATTCACTGAGTATCCAAGCTCACCCTTCCTATGTATGTATGTAGGTATCAAGCAAGAAGTCGGCTACGCCGAGATGTGTGTTTTGCAAGATGTTTTGGATGCATGTTATGTCAGCAATCCTGAAGATTTTGTTTCTTGACTTGTATTCCATGTATCTTGTTCATGTCGGCTTGTGTAGCCCTTTTGTTAAGATGTAATATGTATTTTGGTACTTCAATTTATTTGTATTCAAGTTTTAAAACTATGTAAAGATGTATGTCATTCCATTTGACTTATGCACTGCTCTTATGGACCACTTGTATTTTAAATTATTGCTTCAGCACTTGTGAGCCCCATATATTTATACTCTGATTGTGTGTGAATTTTGCAAGTTGGCCTTCGGTAATCTCGGATTACTAGCCATCACGGCACCAAACTACTAGGGGCGGTTTGGGGTCGTGACAGAATGGTATCAGAGCACAAGTTCCTTATAGTACGTTATTCACACACTTTGGGCCCTAAAGAGCATAGGATGTCCCTTAGAATGATGTTAGGATTGCATCATGTTGCTTGCTACTTGACAAGGTGTGCATCATCTCGGCATGAGCATTGTTTACATCGGCATGATCATGTTCACTTGCATACATGTTTATTTGTTCATCTTGTTCTAAGTGTCACATCCTGCATACTCCTAGCGTCATGAGAAGAGGTAGACCCCCAGTTGGCCGAGATCAGTCCGAAGACAGAATAGACAGATTAGAAAGATTGGTTAAAAGTTTGGCCGATGAGTTAAGGCAAGCAAGGCAGCAGAACACCGGTACCACCTCCACCCAGGCCGCGCAAACAGATGGCTGACATGCAGTTCCACCACCGCCAGTACCACAAGTGCCCCCGCAGCTAGCTTTGTATGGAGATGACACATTGACCCTGATTAGAGAATTCAAGAAGATGAAGCCGCCGAAGTTCCACGGAGGTATAGAGCCGATGAAAGCAGAAGCATGGGTTCTTGAGATGGAAAAGTTGTTCGAGGTTTTTCCTAGCATCGACGCCCAGAAGGTGTCACTGGCAGCCTTTACATTGGAAGACGACGCTCGTAGATGGTGGATGATGATCCGAGAAGGCAATCCGGACTTGACTTGGGCTAGATTTTTGGAGCTGTTCTATGATAAGCATTTCTCACTCAGTGTCCGAGATCGCAAGACTACAGAATTTCAGATGTTGATACAGGGTAGCAAAACAGTGGCAGAGTATGATTGTGCTTTCACCGAGTTGGTAAGGTATGCACCTTACATGGTCGACAACGAATACAGAAAAGCTAGGAAGTTTGAGAGTGGACTCCGAGGGCCGATACAAGATCAGGTTAATTTGCTAAACATGCCAACATATGCTGGAGTGTTAGATAAAGCCATCCTTGCAGAAACCAACCTGAACAGAAGTCAAAGTTCGGGGAAGAATCAAAAGAAGAGGCAGACCTACGACAATTGCGAAGAAGAAGCAGACCCGACTGATGCCGAGGAGGAGACAAAGGTGGACAGTTCTAACAGCGCAAATCGGGAAGGTGGTACTCGGTTGACATGTGCAAGTTGCGGGAAGCTACATTTTGGGGTTTGTCTTCGGGCAACTGGAGCATGTTTCGGATGCGGTGAGATAGGTCATCGCATTAAGGATTGTCCCAAGGTAAAAGCTAGAGATGATAAGAAGAGATGAGAACCCGACGTTCAGAAATTGTTTTGGGAACAAGGTAAGTGAAGTTTGGGGACCAAACTTCTTTAAGGGGGAAGGGTGTAACAACCCACATTTATGTCTTATTCATGTTCATGAGCATTTGTATGATCATGACTCGTTAAGCTTGCATTTGTATGTTTATGACTTGTTTTGCCTAAGTAAGGTCCACGCCTTGTTTTGTGTTTATGTGGTTTTGCCTAAGAGTTGTGTGCATGCTTTGTTCCTTCCTTGGTGTCTCGAGCCTAGGTCATGTTAAGCCGAGGTTATGTTAAGCCTAGATCATCCCAAGCCGAGGTCATCTTGAGTTGTCTTGGAACCCCTTTGTTGGACCTCCACCTTCGACCTGACATATTGGGTGTTCATCACCAAGGCCGAGATGTGTATTATCTAGGCCGAGATGTTACCTTTGCACCCAAGTGACCTTGTCCTGGAGTGGTATGACCTAGACCGAGGTGTGGCACATCTAGGCCAAGGTATGGCACAGCTTAGTCAAGTGTTGTCCTTCCTAGCCGAGGTCATTATCACCTTTGTTGCTGAAGTCATGTTGTTAGCCGATGTCATCACTTGCCGGAGTCCCTTGCCGGGTAGCTTGTTAGGTACACTTTGTCATAGTCTTGTCTTGTCAATCTATCACCTTTTTAAAAAGAGCCAACCAGCTGTTGCCACGTGTCCGAGCTGTGTGTTAAGTCATCCAGCAGAGGGAGAAACCCATCATTTTCTATATCTTTGTTTTGAAGAGGAGAGAGAAGCTCTAAAAGAGGGAGAGGAGTTCTTGAGAGGAGGTAGATTTCCAAGCTTGATCCATAGAGATCGAACCATTAGATCCGTGTTCTAAGGTTAGATTCTTGATCTGCCCTTGTCATTCTTCATGTTCATGTTATTGCATTGCATGATTGAATATGATTTGTAAGCCATTGCATTGCTTTGAAGTTCGGTTTTAGAAAGAGAAAAATAACAGTCATGTGTTCTTCAAGAAAAGCCATTTTTTGATCCGAAAGTTCATGCCAAGATCCATGTTTTTGTGTTTGTTTTCACATGATCTTCAAGTATGGGTACCCAGGTCCATGTTTTCAAACTCATAGCATGAAATCCCAGATTTTGTAATAAAGAAGTTATGATTTTAGCATTCACATTCTTCATGATCTTCATGTTCATGTTCTTCCTGTTCGTCACGGGTGAAAACCCAGATCTCCAGACCTCACTTCCCGAGGTGTAGTCGCCGAGATCACTCTTACCTAGACCTCACACTTAGGCCAAGCATCGTATCTCACCTTGGCCTACCTTGCATGATCACTTACACCTTTAGTTTGTCTTGTGCACACCTCGGCATGCAGCCGCACGCCAAAGCCTAGGTAGCCACACCTCGGCCAGGAGGTGTGGGACCTCGACAAAAACCTGGTTGATACCCAGCATGTCTCCTGACATGTAAAACAGTGTTTTGACTTCCAGCATGTTTTCCCTAGATGTTTCCCAGCATGTTTTCCCGAGATCATTTGCATGCATGTAAGACTTGTTTTGTGAAGTGCATTCAGTAGACTTTGTCATGTGTTTGTAGGATTTGGACCCTTGCCTTGAGCCCGACGTCCCAAGAACTATGTGAGTGGTATTTTAATAAAGCTATGTTATGAGGTTTTGATAAAGCTTTGCCTTGTTTTGATAAAAGTATTTGTTAGGCATGAATGATATCCCTATTTTATGTATCAAGTATAAGTTTTGTTTTGGATGACATTCTTGGAACCGTCCTTTCGTGTTAGGGGACGTTAAGCCTAAGTAACATCGTCCTTTCGTGTTAGGAGACGTTAAGCCTAAGTCACACCGTCCTTTCTTGTTAGGGGACGTTAAGCCTAGGTAACATAGTCCGTGCGTGCCAGGGGACTTTAAGCATTTGTGGCACTAGTTCTTACGTGCCAGGGGACTTTAAGCATTTGTGGCACTAGTCCGTACGTGCCAGGGGACTTTAAGCATTTGTGGCACAAGTCATTCCGTGCTAGGGGACTTTAAGCCTATGTAGCATAGTCCTTCCGTGCTAGGGGACTTTAAGCCTAGGTAGCACCGTCCTTTCGTGCTAGGGGACGTTAAGCCGTAGCACCCTTGTTAAGATATCGGCCACCGACGGACTATGAACGGGTGTGCTCGATGCCGAGGTTATGCTTTCGTTTTGCCCAGAATGTCATCACCCCATATTTTAAGTTGACGTATGTTAAGTATGTAAGTAAGTTTTGAAAGACCAAGTTTCGAATGATGTTTTGTTTCAAGCCAAGCTAAGCTATGTTATGTATGGTTTTGACAAGGATATAATATGTACTGTTTTGAAAAGATCTCGGGTATCATTCATTTAACCCCTTTATTACTAGTACCATTCACTGAGTATCCAAGCTCACCCTCCCTATGTATGTATGTAGGTATCAAGCAATAAGTCGGCTACGCCGAGATGTGTGTTTTGCAAGATGTTTTGGATGCATGTTATGTTAGCAATCCTGAAGATTTTGTTTCTTGACTTGTATTCCATGTATCTTGTTCATGTCGGCTTGTGTAGCCCTTTTGTTAAGATGTAATATGTATTTTTGGTACTTCAATTTATTTGTATTCAAGTTTTAAAACTATGTAAAGATGTATGTCATTCCATTTGACTTATGTACTGCTCTTATGGACCACTTGTATTTTAAATTATTGCTTCAGCACTTGTGAGCCCCATATATTTATACTCTGATTGTGTGTGAATTTTGCAAGTTGGCTTTCGGTAATCTCGGATTACTGGTCATCACGGCACCAAACTACTAGGGGCGGTTTGGGGTCGTGACATTTGGTATTTTAGTTTATAAATTAACTTATTATGAAATTACAAATAAATTTAAAATTTTAATTCATTTAGCATTTTTTTATTAATTTTTTTGATTTCCTAATATGTTTCCATGTAGCTTAAGTCAACATTTTGGCAAAAAATAAATTAATTGACAAATGACCTAAAATCCTTTTTTTAAAAGCCAAATGAACTTGCAGGCGGTCCCTAACAAAAGCTTAGGAGATATATGGAACAGTACGTGCTCGACTCGTATTCAATTTGTTAAACGTTCGTTCAAACTCAATTTATTAATTAAATAAATCAAATTGAAATATATTTTTGAGTTTGTTAAAGGTATCAAATCAAACTTGAATAGTCAATTGTTTGTTCAGTTCTGTTCGATGAGTTCAAAACTATATAAAAAATACCAAACTACTCAAGCTCAACTTGATAAAAAACTCGTTTGAGATCAACTCAAATGTTTAACAAATCAAACTTAAACAAATTTTAAAACTCGTTAAAGTTTTCAAATTAAGCTTATTCAACTCGTTTATCACCCCTATCTCTCATCAAATGTGAGACCCAGAATCCACATTTACAAAGATAAATGTTTGAAATTGACAAAAACAAATAGAACAATGCTATATAGAATTCTATTTTTATCTCATTTTTTTCACTGTTAGAGGGGATTTGAGATGATTTAAATAAATATATTTTTTTAACTTTTTACGAAAATATATGGAAAAAAGTAGATATGTGATGTGACCCAAAAAAGATAAAAAGATAAAAAAAAAATGCTAATATAAGGGATGCCAAATACACAAAGTGATGGGGTTCATTTTCATAAATGCATACGAGACCCCCTCACTTATATCTTGGAGTGAGAAAATGAGATAAAAAATAAAATTATATGTAGTATTTTTCAAACAAATAAGGTCTTACTAATGACAGTTCTAAAGGTTGTCAATAAATACTACATAATGTTAAAATGTTTATAATTTTGATACACATTTCACATACTTTAAAATATTTTACACATTTTTTAAACACTAACAACCGTTTTAAAAGTTATTTTTAATAAGGAGGAGGATACCTTCCCGTCCATAATCACGACTAGAGGACACTGTTGGGTCCATGAGGCCCACCACGGGTTTTGTTTCAATTATCCAAACTGTTTATTTTGTCGAACACTTTGTGTATTTCATTCAAAAAAAAAAAAAAAAATCGATTCAATAGTAGTAACTATTGAATTTAACACGTTTGTTATAAAAAAATAGATGGCAATTGTGTTTTTAAAAATAAATCACCTATTTATTTTTATTTTTTTGTTACAAATACAATAAATTGAACAAATTACGATTATCAAATTAATCTAATTTTTTGTATAAATAAAATACATAAAGTGTCTGATAAAATAAACAGTTCAAATTATTGAAACATGACCTACAGTGAAGAACACAAACAAGCACCCTCTAATTTAAATGATAAACATAAGGGATCCTCCTCTTTTTAATAAGAAAAATGTTTGAAATGCCTAATTTATCATTTCTAACGATGTTTTTGACAAGCATTAAATTTTAATTTATCAAACATTTTTTTTATATGAGATATAATTTTAATATCACATTATTAAAAGTATTTAAGTATGATAAATTATGGTGATGTAGAATTGTTATTTTAATAATTCCCAAACAAAAATACATGTGTGGTAATTTGGAACCGCCAAGCCAAAAGGAACTCATGTAAGTGGGGCTGTTGGATCTTCCAAAAACCCATACAAAGAGAGCATGGTCGGCAAATCGATTCAATAGTAGTAACTATTGAATTTAACACATTTGTTATAAAAAAATAGATAACAATTGTGTTACAAATACAATAAATTGAACAAATTACGATTATCAAATTAACCTAATTTTTTGTATAAATAAAATACATAAAGTGCAGTTCAAATTATTGAAACACGACCTATAGTGAAGAACACAAACAAGCACCCTCTAATTCAAATGACAAACAGAAGGGATCCTCCTCTTTTTAATAAGAAAAATGTTTGAAATGCCTAATTTATCATTTCTAACGATGTTTTTGACAAGCATTAAATTTTAATTTATCAAACATTTTTTTTATATGAGATATAATTTTAATATCACATTATTAAAAGTATTTAAGTATGATAAATTATGGTGATGTAGAATTGTTATTT